AAATAGAAAATTATTATTTCTTATTTAAAAATTTTTAAAAATATTTTTTAAAATCATATTTAGTTATTTTTAAGGGCATAAATGCATTCWTATTTTAAGATATTTTAGTCCCTAGCTATAATTATAACATGTTATAATTATTAATGAAGGTATAAATTATTTGACAAAAACTTTCAATTATTATTATAATAAATATGTAACAATATTACAAAAAAAAGAATTACTCTATAGTTGTACACTGGTTGAGTCCTTTTAAAAAGGTAAGCTTTTCAAATTGTTCGATAAAAGAACGAGTAGGTGTCCGATGACCCGAGTTGAATAACTATGATTGAAAAGTACCCATTCCTGACTATAGTATGTATAGTATAAATTACCTGTARATCCTGCTATAATATTAGTACTTGAGTTGTCATTTGTTTGTTTTAATTTAAAAAAATCAGACACCTTGGCACATTTTTGTCCAATAAGTGTCAACATTTTTTTTTTGTTTTGTCRTACTTTCTCTGCACCTCCTTTTCGCTTTATAGTAGAATTCATATTTGAAAATGTGCACAAAATACAATAAAAAACTGAACTTGGGTCTTGAATACACTTTTCTTTAATTGTTAACAAATAACACATGGATAAAAGTGATATTACGTATTTACGTTGATTCGGTAGAATTAAAATATAATATTACAAATACAATTCACAATGTTAACCGTTACAATCACGGTATTTTCGTAATGTCAACGCGACCAAGCTTTACGCATAGATCGGCTAGAAAATGGTAGGAACGGTGTTTTCWCTTATCGCAAAAGCATATCTCAACGGGAATATAATTTTAATTTTAGATTTTCAACATAAATTAATATTGCAGCTGTAGGCAAGGTCTATCTAAAATTATATTATTGTTCAACAGATAAGTAAACTGAGTACATTAATACTACGAATTATGATACTGAATAATCTAAAGAAACTCTATTTTTAGATTTTATTTACTGAACAGCTAGAGCGTCTTTCCCGGTTTTTACTCTCGATYATCAGAGTAGGTAAAGACGTTTATTATACAACCTTTAATCTTTATAAAACCTACACTATTCAGCCTGCCTTGACTGGCCCTGGTTCAAATTGACCAGCAATATTATCTAGACCAGCCCTTCCGGGCCGATCAGGGGCAGCAAGAGCACACCCTGCTGCCCCCGTGCGCACGCCTATGCTTTTTATATATTTATTTTGTTTTTGTTCTTATTTTTTTCATACATAAAGGGCCATTCACCAACAACGCATATTTCGCAATTAATCATATAGTTATTCAAATTCTGATTTTCGAATTTTCATGTATAATTTAAGACCATCATCTTGAGATTTTTGTACAACTGAAGGAGTATCCTGTGACAATACAAATTTCTTTTAAATGAAAACCACATTTTTTCTATACATAGTTTACTTGATCNCATTAACCGACGTCATTCGTTTTAATATTATAAAAGATTCAACAGGCCGATTAGTATCAGAATTAAAGTAACGAACTACTATTGATAATTGTTCATTATGTCCGACATCGGTAGTTTTGTCAGAAATAATAGAAATATATGAACTTTGCAAATTACAGTTAATTTTTTTCATTATAACATTACGAATTGAGTAGATAATGTCATTTTGAATGCGGTTACTGGTATATTGGGCATTTTTAGGGCCAATATTCATATGGTTTCTTAAAACATCATCATATTTAGCTAATATATTGACCATTTCTTTAAAAAGACCTTGTTGGACACTATCATTTTTTTCATTATGACCACGAAATGGTCGACCTTCTTTTGATAAACAAATAGCTATATTTATAAGACGTTCCATAATTTTACGGTTTTCAGAACGTTCTACTTCACGTTTTTGAACAATTAATGTTTTATTAGAGTCAATTACTTCATCAATTGATTTTGAATTTAAAAAGGTAACTAACGATATAGAGCTGTTAAGATGAGCTTTGGACCGTTGATGTTTTTTGAACATATCCATACCTYTATACYAATTATTGAACCCAGTTTTGGAAAAAGCATTTTCTAATTGGCTGGAGTTTATCTAATTTCCAGAGAAGCAACGGCACGGAAAACAAAAAGCTGAATCAAGTTCGATGCTATATTSCAACCATTCAAAATCACTATACCATTGTTGTTGAAATGATCGATTGTAATTCCYTTGTTTTGYTCTTGGAAATGATGACAAAAATGGACGAAAAGGACCTTTAAAAATCCGTTGTCTAAACTCAAGTCTGTTGGTTGGTAGGCTATGAATTGGATCATTTATGCTAACAGCTTTTTCTGGAAATAAAAGAAATTAAATAATGCTTTTAAAAAGAGCTTGTACTACTTTAAAATACTTTTTAAAAAAGATATTGATAAAATTAAGTGTTCAAGGACCTATACCACAATACATTTTTTTTTATAATATATTGTCAAATTATTAATTATTTATGAAAAAGATCAATATGGCCGGATTTCAAAATTTAAAACTCTTTTTCTTCTTTAAAATTCTTCTTTATGTAAATATTATGATTGAATAGCTTTTACTTTGTGTACAATCTAACAATTTTTTTAAAATAATTTAATAATTATTTATCTTGTCTGTTTAAATACATATTATATCAAAATTATTAGGTTATTACCTTTTGCACTTGGATCTGAAGATACATCACTGATTTCATTCATGCTTTTAACGTCTGAACATATAGGAAGGACTTCATCATGAGTATAAATTTGACATTCCCTATTAGTAGTTTGTACTTTTTCATTTTCTTCAAAAATTGACTATAAARTATATAATATATAAATTATTTATCATTGCATTCAGAATAATTAATATGAATAAAGTTCAATTGATCATTATGAATATAGCTAACTTTTTAAAATAGTTAAAAATCCATTTAATTATTAATTATTTATGAAAAAGATCAATATGGCCGGATTTCAAAATTTAAAACTCTAATGAATATAATTTGACTTTGCCAATTTATGATTAAGTACTAACTAGATGCAACTTTTTCTCTATTAAAATTAAGAATGAAAATTATTGCCTAGTATTTCTACCTAAAAAAAAAATATA